CTCCCTCTGGAACGGTGAGGTGGCCCAGAGGAAATCTAAGCATGTTTCACTTGGTGGCATTCGGCATTGTTCAACTTCCTCCTCTCAGCCTGCGGTACTGTCTCCCTTGTGCCAGATGCTTAGAGAAGCAGTTCATTCAAAGAATTTGCCAGAAGGCACAAAATAAGCTCCCTCCTACCCTCTGCTTTGTCTCAGGCCCGGGTGCTGCGCTGGCTCATCCTCCTTAGAAAAATACGCAACCTCTAATGAGTTCCCCGATGACACCCTCAACTTCGTCAAGACACACCCGCTCATGGATGAGGCCGTCCCCTCCGTCATCAACCGGCCGTGGTTCTTGAGGACGATGGTGAGGTACGTGGCTCAGAAGTCAGCTCTCAGGTGACTTGCCCTGCTCTGCTTCTCATGTCTGAGAACGCCCCATGTTCTGAAATGCCGCAAACATCTTCTGTTGTCCTGGGCATTGATTCAGCTCTGGAATTCTGGCAGGGTGAGTGGATGCCATGAAACCCCCAGCCCCCATTCCCAGTGACAAGACAGCTTGTATTATGAGGCTCGTTAGGCACATGCCTGCTTTGAGAGGATTCAAAGATGGTCCCTCCAAGGCTAGCCCATTCATCTGAGCTGTGAGCAGTGTGAAGGAGGATCCGTTAGTTCTATTTGGTGTCCACCTTCAGTGGGTTGGTTGGTTGGAACCTGGAATGTTAGCTGTCAAATGGTGCGTGGATGTCACATTTGCACTAGTCTGCCAGTGTAAAGGATTCATGTTTACTATTCCTTATCTGAAGTGATGGTCATCAGAGAATGGACAGCTGATTAGAGATCTGTGATGACAGGAAATATTTTCCCTTCTTTGTTTTAAAAGCTTGTTTCTAAATAGTTCAGGAGGCTTCCCAAGCATCAGCTAACTGTAGCAAATATCATAGACAACATGAATAGTTTGCCTCTTTTATTGTTTTTCCTCTCACCTTTCATTTTGTTAGATGTGGAGGTATGATCATCATTCAGACCTGTTCAACAAATTCTAAAGCAACTATAAATCTGCCTCCATTTCTTTTCTCATGACTTTATTGAGAGATACCAACGCTACTGAGAGTATGAACGCAAGAGACGGGGCCCTTGCCCATAAGATGAACAAAACCATTCTATGGAACCTACCTGAGGGTCCATGTCCCCTTCTGCCTGCCATGCTTCATAAAATGAAGTCTCTCTGGGATGTTGGACAATCAGAGGCTCTCAGAGAAAGAGGACGATTAGTGGGGCTTATCTAGGCACAAATCTTATTTGGCTGATACAACCTTATGTTTAGGGCCTCCAGCTCTCTGCCTCCTCAGACGATCAGCGAGCATTCCAATTTGACATTGTGTTAACAACGTGTTACTCCTCAGTATCGCTCCCCCTACGCCCCTTCCAATGCTAAATGATACGTTACAAGGACACACCAGCTTCTCCTTGTTGGCTCTTGGAAAGTGATCATCGCTGAGAAGCTTCAACATGGAGGGCTGTCTATTTATTATGGAGCTTGGCCTTTGGAACCAGGCTCATGTGCTGCGTATGGAAATAAGGGGTCGGGACAGCTTGACATATATTTATTGAAGTTATTACTAGAAAGTTATGTCACAGGGACTCGTAATGGAAAAGGAGGCATGTCAATGATAGACCAACGAAGACATAAAACATGCGATCCTGTCATTCTAGATACCGCCTGACCAAAATTGCAGTGGACACTGCTGCTGGGCCCTATCAGAATCACACCGTGGTTTTCCTGGGATCAGAGAAGGGAATCATCTTGAAGTTCCTGGCCAGGATAGGAAACAGTGGTTTTCTAAATGACAGCCTTTTCCTGGAGGAGATGAGCGTTTATAACCCTGAAAAGTGAGTGGAATGCTTGGTGATTTCGTTGTAATTATTTGTTATACGTTTAGATCCTTTTCATTAAGGAAAAAAATATGTGAGACTTAGATTGAATTCCTTTTTAAAAAGTTGATTTTTAATATTAGTTGTAAAAATATTTTAGCATATACAATGACTTTCTCCTTAGTAGTAACTGTGTGTCGTCACACAAATGCACTGATATGTGCGCATGTGTACACTTGCATATATGTCTCACTTGCAGTTAGGTAGAAATAATATCACCTTGTGGGGTTTACCAATAGTCACAGAGAAAGAAGAACGGACCCAAGCATCTATAAATCTGATTTCTCGTCCTTTCAAATTTAGGTGCAGCTATGATGGAGTAGAGGACAAGAGGATTATGGGTATGCAACTGGACAAAGCAAGCAGCTCTCTGTTTGTTGCCTTCTCCACCTGTGTGATTAAGGTTCCCCTGGGCAGGTGTGAACGTCATGGGAAGTGCAAAAAGTATGTACTGTTGGCCTCATTGACCCCTTAGAAAGTCCACCAGCATGAAAAAGGATTCCTAGGTCGCTCATGACCCTCCTCTTCCTGCAGAACTTGCATTGCCTCCAGAGATCCATACTGTGGATGGGTAAAAGAAGGAGGTTCCTGTGCACGTCTCTCTCCCAGCAGCAGGTAAGGACCCCAAGGTGTGGGAGAGGGCAAGGTCAGTCAACCGTACTTGTAGCACGCCTCCCAGTCTTCTGTACACCAAACTTACCAACAGTACTGCCAGTCCTTCTTCTACTTTTCCTAGTTCATAGACCCCCACAGCGTCACCTGTGGCAGATGGCCAAGCAGTTCATCATCCCAAGACGGATTAGAAACACAGAAAAAGGAAGCACCGTGGGCTCCTATGTATTCTCCGGGGAGCCATGCAGGAAGGTGCATGCCTTGTTCATCACTGAACAAGAACAGCAGAAAGAGAAGCATGAGGACACAAATTAGATAACTGATGTAGTTTGTCCAGCCATAGCAAACTGGGCTCTACTAATTGACCGTGTAGGGCTGAGGTGAAATTGCAGAGCATTTGTTTAGCAATACATTTGTACAGCAAATAGGGTGTATACATCCAATAAGCCTTTCTCTGGCACTGGAGAACAGTTGACCCTATTACTCCATAGGCCATCAATCAATTCTTGGCGATTCTCCAGCGGATCAGCCAGTGATGTGGGTGTTATCAAAGTGTTACCCTAGCTCTCCGTGCTTCAGTGGGATTGGTTAAAACGTTTCTATGGTTTTCAATCAGTGGATGTGAAATCACAAATAACATTTGGAACAACATTGAATACATGCCCTTGGCAAGTGTGTCAGTTCAGGGAAGATGCCACATGGCAGCCAAGACCTTTCTTAGCCAATCCATTTATGTCCACATATACAAAGGGAGAGTAGTTCTGTCATCCCAGCATGCTCGGCATCCTCTCCCCTTTAGAATAACTATACAAACAAACCCAACTAGCTGATGGTCACCACCACTGTAACACGAGGGAAACATGCTCCATACTCAAGTCTAGTGCTATCTGTAAAATCGCATGTGGAAACTTGATTAGTGCACAGGTTTAACTCACTAGCTCTTACGAGAGCACCTTCACAAGCAGCAGTACTGATGTGTCTTAATCTTGGGGCGCTATACCTCTTTATGGGAACCCTTGCATTGAAGGAAGAAAGGATCACAAAGCATAGGAAATGAAATGGCCTCCCTGCTTTTTATCATCCAGATTGTGCGTGTGTGTGTGTGTGTGTGTGTGTGTGTGTGTTAACGTCAACAACAGAGCTCTAACATAGTTCTCTTGGGGAGTCTACCCCATGTTTCAGCAACACTGGGATGGCTCTTATTTGTTTTCATTAGGACTAGAAATTTTAATCCTATGGGGGACGAATTTGATTTTGAACACAACAAGAGACATTGGAAAGCAAACCTGGTAGATTATTAGATCAAGGTGTGACTTTCAAAATAAATTAGGTTTCCCATATGGCTCATAAATAAACTCGAAGGCAGTTAGTTGTAAAAGAGAAGACGCACTCGATTTATTTCCTCCAAAGAAAGACCACTTCTTTGGAAGTTTCTTCCAAAGTGTACTTGTTCAAATACTCAAAATAAGTAGTACTTAATAGGTCTTTATTTATTATTTTGACATAGCTCATACAGCCCATTGGTGACCTGGGACATGCAAGAGCACTGAATGTGTGGACAAGCATGAGAGCAATACTGCTGAGGCCCTGACATAGGACTGGGGAGCAAAATACCCTGACACTCTGAGCAAAAGACCCCACTTTCCCTATGCCCGCTTGTATGGCCCAGAGCCCCTTCTACCTTCGACCGAGGGATTTCTAAGGATAAAGGCCAGGGAAGGCAAGCGGGCATAGATGAGACAGGAGCGAAGACTTGCATCTGAAAATGTATAGATTTCTATACCACAAAAATACAAGGCATATATTTGAATGTATATTTTTAAATGTTCAAAAAATTACTCCGAGAATCAGGATAAAGGAAGACTATAATGAAGCCACAAACTGGGGAACTCAGAGTATCTGAACTAAGTGCTGAAACCTTGGCGTCTCTTTGGAGATTTGCATAAGATGCATTTCTGTAAAATGCAGAGATAAAGAGGCTGCTACCTGTTTCTTTTGTGCACCTGCCCTCAGTTTATCAAAGTGTGCTGCTTTCTTGGGTGAAACTTAAGACTCATTCCTGAATAATGACTCACCTTATTGTATTTCTCTCCCTCTCCTTTTGTGAAGGCTGGCTTTTGAGCAGGACATAGAACGCGGCAATACAGATGGTCTGGGGGACTGTCATAGTAAGTCAAGCTTTTTACCCACGTCTATCTTTGGGCAAAGATGCTTTCTCAAAATGGCCTAGAAACACTACCCCATGTTTGGTACTGAGTGCAGCTGCTGTGAAAGCATGCACAACTAGCGCAGATCATCTTTTAAAGAACATCATTTTAAAGCCATGTGTTTTAAAGCCTGTGTGTCTGGCGTTTTGCTGTAAATGCCGGCACCTATTTTGTCTCCACAGTAAGCAACTCCAGTTCCTCAAGGATATTAATAATAGAAGGCTGTCCCTTATAAAGCCACCGTGGTTTGGGGTTTGGGGTGGGGGGTTTGGTTTGAGGGTTTGGTGTTTGAGTTTTCCTTTTGTCATCCTATCCCACCCTACACCTTAGCCCAATCACACAAAGACTGATCCCTGAGTGCAAGATTTTTATTGAATGGGACTGCTCTAACCTAAGCGCCCCCATTGGCTACATACACAATGACTTTGTCAGCATTAGATTCATGTTGTCACTGGAACTAGAAAAAAAGTTTAGAAATTACCTAAGAAATATAAGGTCCTTAATTGGCTCAAAATAACCTTGGAATTTCCCTACTTTCTAAATTCAAAGTTTTGAATTCACACATTTAGTTGGAATTTTATGTAAAGAATTCTAGTCAATAGTCTGTCCGGTTATCCTGTCTGTGCCCTGATTAATATCAATCT